GTAAAATGGATCTGATTGCTCATAGCTGAGACTGTAGTTAATAAAGAACATAAAGAGCACCTTTTCTCTTCTCTCCGTGATTAGAACATTATAACAGCTCTGATGAAATGATGGTCAACGCTGTTACAGCTAACATGATGTTATTGATTGATCATCCTCTTAAGGGGTTCGGCAATAAACATTAAAGACGCATTAGTAGTAGGCAGACTGAGTCTCCGAGAAGATCAGACTTGATTGATAGACCAACGAGCTTCGCTCTCCGATCCAAGAACTCTTATAAGCAGGCTGAGCCTCTAAGTGTGAGCTGTGTTGATGAGAGCTCTAGAAGAGAGCCTCCTTGAAAACACCGTGGGCCTTTTTTTAAACAAGGAACAATGGCTTCTCTCTCACAGACCGTCTCGCACTTTCACACATCCATGTGCGCACACATGTAGCTCTCACTCACTCTTTTATGTTCCATTTTCTCAACACATACACTGCTTTTCTCACCAGAAGAAAGTGGGAATGCAAGATGAGGGTTTTCAGAAGAACTGAACCATGCAGCCACTCAAATTCTCATATGTAACACTACCATAAGATACCACATTCATTTACGCTTAAGGCCAACGTGAATCGGAAATTAAAATTTTCCTTCTGCGCCGTAATATATTTCTGAGTGAAATAGGGGTTAGTATTACTATTTTTGCCCGGCCCACTGGTGCACAGTGACATAATCCAAACTGTAACACGTTTTCTACACTTCATTTTGATCAAAGGTTATGGGAAAGCAAGACTTTTGTCTTGTAACCTCTTTCTGCAAGTCCTTTAGTGGCCATTCCTCCAGCGGAATGAAACTAAACACAGATATTTATAACTAATATAATCACATTAAAATATTTGTTCCTCATAACTCTGTTATCAGGTTAACTAGGACACTGTTGTCTCTCTGTGAAACGTTGTGACTTGTGTGTTGAGCTGCTAGCAAGCAATGAGGGGTGAAAGGCCACTGCTTTCTTCATATAAAAAAACTGTTTATGACCATAATAATAGAACAGTTTTATCGAAATATATTCCAACAATATTATCAACTAAAAAAATGCATAGCTCAACTGAGGGACCACCAAAACAGCTGGAAATTACATTTTATGGCTACTGGGAAAAGGGGTCATGCTTAATGCAGCCATGAGCTAACAAGGTAAAAAAGGTCAATTTAAAATTGATTTTAATGAAGCATTATGATGCATAATTGCAAATAATGAGTACTATAGCACAATACTTAAGCTCATTAGAGTATTATAGATTGATATAAAGCATATTCATGAGGTGCTAGCACAGAACCATGTAGTTATGGTATATATTAACATCTATAAACTGTTAGAGGTACATTTTTTGTTTATCAGGGTACAAACAATGTAAATGATCCTTCAAAGGTACAACAGTGGTTTTAAGGTCCAATTGTATACCTTAAATAAGTTTTTTCCAGGTGAAAAGTACGGATTTGTACCTTTTCATAACCTAATGTTTCAAAACAGAACAATAAAATAAAAAGCCTGGAGACGAGACGGGGTGTGTGGAGTCAATACAACTTAGAAAATATAATTTCAGTGGATTATAGGGCAATTATGTTCTCTGACTAAAGGTGCTGAGATGTACCCTTGAGGGCACCACCCCAGTGACAGTTTAGTACCTATATTTCTGAGATTGAAGGACTTGGCTGAGCCTAGGATTAGGACTAAAATCAGGACTGATACACACCCCTATCTGAACGCTACACATTAAAATGCCCTTTATTAGAGTTATTGTGTAAATATCAAAAAAGTATTGAAATATTATATGAGAATTATATTATAACTGAATATGATATCACATTTTTTCAGCATTTAGTGTGAACACCCTTCATCTCTATTACAGCTTCCATTCTTTTTAGAAGACTTTTGAATTTTTTAAAGTTGAACTTGAATTTCATTTGCAAAGTTCAGTCTTAGAAGTTGGTTGCATTTTTAACCCCTAACAGAGTTAATATCACTCTAGCAGAGTCAAACCATGTTTGCTTTACTTCTACACTCTCAGAACAGATGAGTTAAAAACAACACACCTAAGTAAAGGACGACACATTTTGTGTTACTTTTCACACGGCCAGGGTGTTACTTAACACAGACACTGTGTTCACATGTTTTAACACCAATGTTCTAATTAACACGTGTTCTACTTTAACAGTGTGCTCTGACGCAAAATGTGTTAAACCAGTGTTGACACGAAAAGTGTGCTGTTCATTAACACTGCACTTTTGAGTGTGGAAGTGATTTAACAGTACACATGTGCACAATACATGTTTTGTTTTTAAGTGCTTTGTGCTATAAGACTACTTTTTACTCTTCATGATCGTCTATAAGGAGACAAAATGCTTTATATACACATGGAAATCATATGCACACATAATATTACGTTACAGAACGTTACTCAACTGACTTCATTAGAAGCTGTAAAATCTAAAAATCTAAATTCCTGTCTCCTACAAATCTCCACCCTCTCTGCCCTTTCCCTTCCTCTCATTTTCTCTCGTTCCATCTCTGACTCTGATTATGTTCTTCGACATCTGGGCGATCTGCTGAGCTCATAACTCACCCTATAAAGGTTTAAAACAAATAAGCGCGGTCGGCCCACACACCTTCATTACCAGGAATTGCGCCGGGGTGAATAATATGCTTACACACTCATTCATTCTCTAATGCATTTACTCATTCACTCTCCAGCCTCTGTTTCTGACTGGGGCAGTGCAGTCAGAGGGGCTGCTTTTCTCTTTTCTCTCCAACAGAGCAGACCTGTCCCCCCTCGTCCTCCTGAAAAGCAGACTTTTTGCTCTTTATGGGGGGAACAGCATCCATCACTGTCCCGCCACCTCTGGTCTCTCAGCGAGCGGACAAGAGAGAGACAGAGACAGAGATAGAGAGAGAGAGAGAAAGAGAGGAGAAGGCTGAGCTTCAGAGGAGACGGCTTGTGCTGCCTCTATCGCTCACAGAGAGAAAGCTGGCCAACACAGCCATATCAACACTGACACCTAACCGTCGCACTTGGCAGGTGAAGGAACTATCAGGTCAGTCCGTGACACACTTGTCCGTGACACACTTACACACACTAGTGCCCAAACTAAATGGCTTTTTAAAGAAATATCCATGTTATAACCACTATATATATATATATATACAGAGAGAGAGACAGAGAGAGAGAGAGAGAGAGAGAGAGAGAAAGAGAGAGCAAGAGAATATTATGAGAAGTCAGAGACCACTGTTCATTTATTCCATTTTTCAGCATTAATAAAAAAGAAGGAAACATGTATTTAACAGATAATTACACAGACGCCTCAACAACTAAATATAATTTTTTTCTGTATTTAGTGTGTCCACTCTTTGCCTTTATTACAGCTTTCTGAGAACACCAGCATCTTTCTCATTTTTTTATCTCTTTTCTCTGTGAGGGCTTCTTGATAACTACACATCCTTTCAGTCTCATAGTGTTGAGTTGTCTTCTCACAGCGAAAGGATAGACAGAAACACCTGTGGATTTTTTCAGATCTGAAGCAAGAATGGAGCTTGATTTTCTCCTCTCTCTCAAAGATGAAAGCTTGAAGTACCGATTATCTGATGGTGACAGTTTTGGTGGTCTACCAAGAGTCCCAAGTATTATTTTATATCTAATCTCCTCTGAAAATGGATAACTTGTACTTAAAGTTTGTTTTGACTGGAAATTAAATAAATGAGGGGTATATATATATATATACCACCAAAACTGATATATATATCACTGCTGTAGGAACAAAATCTTGTTATAATGCCCCAGGCAAGAGTCCTCCAGCACAGCTCCCAATGCATAACTTTTTACTCACAAAAATGTCCACTACTGAGGACAGTCTTAGCTTGATCATCTCTCAAAAAAGCTCTGTAATGCTGAGATTAATAACTGTCTTAACACAATAGTTTATCAGTCTACTCAGGCTTTAGGAACTTCAGTGTTTGTAAAGAAGCCATTAATTACGGCCCTTATTAGAGTTCGTCTAATAAGCATATTTTCTACATGCCATTCACTGATTTCAAAAATAGTTAATAACCAAGCATTGATGGTGTTTCTTTTGAAGACTATATTTTTTTTTATTTATTGGGTAAAATATTTCCTTAAAATTGTAAAAAGTAACTGTATTCTGAATTCTTACTTTACTAAATTACTTTACTAACTTGGACTAAGTACTAACTACAGGTACTTAATTTCTGTATATCTGAATACATATTCCCAATACTTGTATTCTGTTACATTGTACCCTGCACACACGCACAAACACACACACATACACACACACACACACATACACACACACACACACACACACACACACACACATACATACATACATATATATATATATATATAGAGAGAGAGAGAGAGAGAGAGAGAGAGAGAGGGAGAGAGAGAGAGAGAGAGAGAGAGAGAGATCTGCTTTCTCAACACTGTGGATTGTCTCATGTACTTACTTACACAGGTACACACCAGTATCACCCTCCCCCCCCCATTAAGTTTATAGCTTTTCAATGCAACATCCACTTTCTCAACACCATAGATTTTCTTGCATAAGCAAGTATACACCAATACACACAGTGACACACACACACACACACTTCCCACTCCTCTTTCTTATTTCTCAAAGCGCAGCAGGAGAGGACTGAGTGCGCTGTGGGAATCTGCTGCATCTCTCTCTGAAGCCACAGGCAGAATACATCACCACATCCTCCTTTATGACTCACAACACACACACACACACCTCTGATCTGCTCCTGTACCTGCCATACACGTACAGTCTGTAGCGCACTCACTATCTCTGTCACAAGCACACACTCCGCGGCACAGAGACACACACTTTCTGCGTCTTTTTGACTCGGAGCCAAAGCACTTAACAACACAGATGACACAGTCTGCTGAATCTGTACACGAGTGCTGATAGGAGGCAGTACGTGTGCGCGCGTGCTGGTTACCTGTGGCTGCGGCTCTTGCCATAAGGATCAGCCTCCCTGCGGTCAGCGTCTTAGTGATCAGCCCGGAGAGAAGGAGAGAGAGAACAGCGCCCGGGCAGCCTTCCGTCTCCACGACAACGCCCGGAAGATGCCACACCTCCAATGCACGCTGCTCGAGAACAATAAGACTTTATCCCCTCCCTCCCTCTTTCTCTCTCTGTCTCTCTATCTCTCTCTCTCTCGTTCGTTACCGGCTCTGAAGCGTGCACTTACTCAGAGAGTGTGACGTGCTCTCGTATGTATGTGTGTGTGCGTGCGTGCGTGAGTGTGAGTATCTGATGTTTTTCCAAACACAGAAGGTGACGAGCAAAGAGGAGCTGGGATTCTGCAGGTGAGCGTCTGTGAGTGGGGGGTAGATTGAGTTCCACAGGGGAATAAGGCACTTTTCCTGTGTGTGACGCACGAGAGAGAGAGAGAGAGAGAGAGAGAGAGAGAGAGAGAGAGAGAGAGAGAGAGAGAGTGATAAGAGTGAGAGAGAGTGAGAAACAGTGATAGAGAATTTAGAGAGAGAGAGAGAGAGAGAGAGAGGAAGATAGAGAGATTGGGACAGAGTGAGAGACAGTGATAGAGAATTTAGAGAGAGAGTGAGAGACCTGGGGTGAGAGAGAATTATAGACAGCAAGAGAGAGAGAAAAAAAAGAAAAAAAAGAGAGATGGAGAGGATGGGGTCGTCATGGAGATATTCAGCCATGAAGGGAAAGTAGGGTGAATGACAGAGAGGAGAGTCTAAAGGAAAGCCCTACTAACGCTCTCTCTCTCTCTCTCTCTCTCTCTCTCTCTCTCTCTCTCTCTCTCTCTCTCTCTCACACACACACACACACACACACACACATGTTTGTGTGTGTGTGTGAATATATCCAGATTCATACACACCATATAAACAAATGAAGCCCGTATACATGCCAGCAAAGAGGAGCTCACTCACAGACAGAAACAAAGAAAGTAAATGCAAATGTGATACTTGCTCTGTCTCTCAGTCTCTCTCCCATTTTCACACACATGTGCTCTTTTCTTTAACGTTATTAGTGTTATTGGGGAGCCCTGAGGGAGCGCCTCTCTACAGCTCTACTGTTTGCCTCAGTGCACTGACTTAATGCTCCAGCCTTAAGATTAAAATAGCTGCAGCCAAACACCCTAAAGCTGCCTCCTTCTCTCAGATTACAAGGACTACAACACCATCTCCAGCACTGATGCAACATACACTTGAACACTTTCAACCCTGGTACTGAGACAATTCGGCAAAAGAAACTACCACAACTGCTAAGGCCCCTGTTGAACTCTTGTAACTGACGGCCTGTCTAACTCTAGCACGTTGCTTCATCACTGATGATGGATAACCTTCTATAACAGACACGGTCACAAACTGCAGCTTGAATGACATAAATGGCTCTCAGGTGGCATCGAAAAGGAATAAAAAGCAATGAAATTCACCATTTATACAATAAGGGCTTTTCTACTGAGAATTTTGCGAAGATGAATGGATGGATGGCTGGTCAATGTACTGTATAGCAGTACAGCAGCTGATAAAGGACAGTACCGAGTATGTGTGTGTGTGTGTGTGTGTGTGTGCGTGTGTGTGTGCAGTTTGCAGTTGCACAAAGCCAGAGCATTTGTTCTCAGTATGGCTTCAAAGGCAGAACAGCATCACTGCTGAAAGAAAATCCTTCGTCTCAAAGGCAGAAAAGAAATGATCATGAAGTTTCAGTGCGTTTAGAATCCAGCTCCCAGAACTATGACATGCCTAACTGGGTATAAAAGGGATGGTCAATATACGAAAAAAGGGGAAAATTGTCGAAAAGGGGATAGACTTTTCTAGCTTGTGACAGTGGCAATAGGCTATTTCTATCTCCTGTCACTTCCTGGCTGATCTGATGGTAGAGAAATGAAAGCTAAAGTGTACACAGGCGCTTATAGCTCTGAGCCACACGCAGGACTCACACAAGCTGGCATTAAAGGATTCCTCCTCACATATCCGCTAAGGCGGGTGAGTATATGCACTGCTTCACAGCAATATCAGCACAAGAAACCAAGGCCAAAATCTATCACACTCTCCTGGTTATGGATGCCAAAGGAAGCCACGGTGTCGACCCTGTGGCCACTACAATTTCAGCGTGTGTAAAACGCACACATGTTCTTGTGTGTGGACCGTAAAGAACAGCAGCCGGCCTCAAGCTGCTGGATGGATGAGTTCCACTCAGCTCTCTGATGATGGGTCAGCGCCCCAGGGGACGGCCTGAATGCGAGAACGGAGAGAGACGGAGACAGAGGGATTAGATTAAACGTGAAAATGGCACTGGAGATGGAGGTGAGGACTTTCCAGTTGAACCTCTTAAGGCCTGTGGCCCCGAATAATGTCCAGAAAGCAAATTCATTGGCAAATAATTACACACAGACGCCTGCAATTTCTTCAGGAAGAACAAAAGACAAGGTCTGAAGACTCAAACTATATGAATAAACAATGAGCCATTCTTAAGTTTAAGTAAACAAGTTTCAAAAGAACCGACTTCATTATGCAGAGGGCTTCTTTGATGTTTCACACAAGGCTTGAGGATCTGTGGAGGGAGGTAAGCAACCTTTGTTGCAAAATGAAAAACACAGCTGGGATGGCAAATGGAATTTGGCATTAGTCGAGTTGAATTTTCATTTTGAACCACAAATATGAGCGGGGAAATTAAATTCACATACAGGAACGCATTGCCATGTTAGATGTTAGACTTTATTTTGAATGTTGGATTCTTGTAGGCTTCCACAGTTTCTCTAAACGGCTGACTAGCGAGAACGGCTGATACGAAGCGTCAGTGCAAGTTTGAGTGCGATTCTCTCACCCTCCACACGCAGACCCTCACTCGCCACTCTGTTGCCATGGGAAACCAACAGGGCCCCGCGGGACTCCCGCCACGAGCCGTTCCATCCACAGCGCGCGGCACAGAACGCCCGCTGTAGAGCGCGAGACTGGCACCATCTCATCACCACCAGGAATCTTCCAGTGGGAAAGAGACCGCCTTAGTAACAACAGCATGGATACATCTCTCACTTGTACATCTCTCATGCCATTATTTGTTACCCTGCTGAAAAATCCAGCCAAGACCAGCTATTGCTTGGTGCTGGTTTCAGATGGTTTAAGCCGGTCTTTGATGGTCTAGGTCAGGGGTGTCAAACTCAACTACTAAAGGGGCCATATTAAAAAATGTCTTTAAATCCATGAGCCAGAGAAAAAAATGTTTTAATTTTAATTAATGCTGTGCTGTAACCTGAACATACTGGAACTTATGAGGATTCTAGGAGGTTGTGACAACGTACTGACAATGTTGCCACTACACTGTCACAATGTTGTCAGATAACGTTGTCACAGCTTTCTGAGGAATTACATTTCAACGTTGTGGGCACCAAAACAGTGGGCTGTCATAACGTTGTCACAACATAACTGTGTTTGCAGTGTAACTGCTGTCCCATAGATTGTTGTTGGGGTAGGAGAGTCAAGGCGCACATTACACTGCAGTGCATGCTGGGGCCTGTAATGCAGCGGTCTAATAATAATAGAAAATGAAAATATTTTTGCAGGACGAATAGGATTGTGTTGCGTGCCTGGTCTGGCCCACGGGCCTTGTGTTTGACACATGGGTAGCAGACACACTGGACATCCAGGTGGACTAGATGCAAACATTCCCTATGCTGGTCAACCAGCTGTTTACGCTGAATGGTTTAGCTGGTTGACCATCATATGAAATGTTTTTGTTTCAGTTGGTGATGGTTCAGTGTGATGGTTTAGCTCAGGGGTGTCAAACTCAACCACTAGAAGGGCCATATTAAAAAATCTCAACAAATCCATGGACCAGAGAACAACTGTTTTATTTCATTTTTAATTAACATTTTGCTATAAACCAAACTGACAATTGTTTATTCAAAATATGCAAAAACCTCAACAGTATAATATAGGCACTTGTAGTAAACCTTTAAATATTACATGAATACTTGAAATATTCAAAATTTAAATGTCCCCAGGATCTAGGTCTTTTAAACCTACCTATTTGCTTGAACTAGATACCTGGCATTTTTTCTTTGCTGCAAGTTCATTAATATTTGGCCTCAATTTCTGAGCTGCTGAGCTAATGTTAAGTGCTGAACTGCACTGTTAGTGTGTTTGGTGATACAACTGGTGTGGAACCGTGTAAAATTATGTAGAACTAAGGTGTAACCACTGTCCCACAGATTGTAGTCTGGGTAGGAGTGTTGGAGCACACATTACGCTGTAGTGCACACTGGGGACTGTAGTGCAGTGCATTGAGAAACAAGCTAATATTAACAGAAAACTAAAATAACTTTGCGGGCCTTGTGTTTGATACATGGGGTTTAGCTAGTCAATCTATTTAATCATAGATATTGTTTCACTTGCCTCACAATACACTGAGCTCTTCTCATCTTCATACTATCATCATCATGATAGGCTTCTAACAGCAGTCATCGATATTCATGGATTAAACCCTCATTTTCACTGTGAACCAGCAGTCCCTGGTTTTTACTGGTGACAGTGATTGATTTTCATAGATCTGTTTTTTTCTGCGGCATGTTTGCATGTTTTCCCCGTGTCTGCGTGGGTTTCCTCCGGGTACTCCGGTTTCTTCCCACAGTCCAAAGACATGCAGTCAGGCCAACTGGACATGCTAAATTGCCCCTAGGTGTGAGTGTGTGTGTGAATGTATATGTCTGTTTGTCTCTCTGTCTGCCCTGCGATGGGCTGGCGACCTGTCCAGGGTGTTTCCTGCCTTCCACCCATTGACCACTGGGATAGGCGCCAATTCCCCTTGTGACCCGGAAGGATAAGCGGCTTAGAAAATGTGAGTGTGTGTTTCTTTCTGTTACTGTAATAGACCTCTAACAGTAGTCATCAGTTGTCATTGGTTAATTTAAATACTTCTGTCCAATGACAGGTTAGATTCTTTTTTTCTTGTTGTCTATATTCAGTTTTGTGTTAGCTTATCCTCTTCATAATGCTCTTGTTGTGTTCTTGTTTTGCTATCCAGTGATGGCTGGAGGAGTATGGTTTCCCCTTTTGAGTTTTGGTTCCTCTCAAAGTTTC